ATTCTTCCTTCTCAATGTCTAGCAATATATATATTCAAGTGAAATCACATGGGAACAATAGAAAATGAAGATAATGACCTCGACAGTGTTATTAATATATGTTATAACGTTGAAAGTGACGAATTTATCCATCACTGTCATCATCATCATCATCAATATCAACATCAACAGCATTGATAACACAATCTATCAATGTTACAGTTCGTTGAACACGTGCCATCCATCGTAGAAAAAAAAGAAGAGAAAGTGTTCATAAGATGTAAACTGTTGTTCTAGTTCTCTCTCTCTCCTTCTAGTCTCTTTTCTCTTCAAGTGATAAAAAAAGACATTTAATTATATTGAAATAAAACTTGAAAATAAGATAGATGTTTGTTTGTTAGATAGTATTTTCTTTTTGTATGCATTGAAGGATTCTCTAAGAAATAACTAAAAGGATGAGTATATACGTTAATGATTACACTTACGAGCTTATTTTCTCGTTCGTTTTTGCTTCAAATGAAACATGAGGCTCCAAGCTTTGAGCTTTGAAGTTTTAGCAACGGCTGTATTGTTTTTATGACCAACCTTGCCTATTTACAAGGCTTACTACCAGCTAAATAATATTGAAGAGTTCATCGACTTTAGAATCCAACTTTGGCTCCCTGCATGGTTGGTGTACATTCTACCGTCGAACGTCTGATGCACAAGTTTATAAGCTAAGTTAAGCCAAGCTAATCTTTAACTTCAATTGATACATCCTTCCATTTGTAATTTATTCAGTATAAAAGTATCTAGGAGAAGTTTATAAACAAAATGAATGGTTACATAAATATTTGAAAAGTGACCAAGCGAGATCACAGTAAGCCAACTTTATTGCAAGATTGGAGATCTTAGCAATTCATTTATCCACTGATAACTGTAAGAAGTTTTCTCCAGCACTACTGATCGGTAAGGACAACAACTACTTAAGAAGCGTTGACTTAATGAAAAACCTGAGATGAAATGAATTTTTAGTACAGAACTTTATAGAAAATTGTGGCTACGATACCACATACAGAGACATGTAGAGATGAAGAAAAGAAATTCAGTGAGGCCATAACAAATGGATTAAACCTGTGCTACTGAGAACGAGTTTCAGCAATGTCACCGATAGTCACCAACCATTGATTTCTACCATCTTGGTAACTCCAAACCGGGTTGTATATATCTCCATATGAGGCTCATACAAATAATCAAACACTTCAAGGATTGGTATCTTGTCGTGATCTAATCATCAGTAACTCTTTTTTAAACCTAAATCAGTTGACAGTGCTTCATGAAGAAGAAGAAGAAGATAGCTCGGTGTGCGTAACACATCTTCTGGGTATCTCAGTGGATACAACTTCATCAAAAAGTGTGTACCGAAAATCTCTGTATGACCAACCTCAAATTTGAATATGTAGACTAATGTCGATATTTTTTCCTTAATGACAGAAACTTTATTCATCAAAATTCTCTTTCAAAAGGCGTGAACTCTTCTGAAACAGGGGGTGAATCTTGAAAATAAGTGCCAACATGCACTGTCGAATTTACTAGTTTCTCACTGACCACCTAGAACAAATCCATAAAAATTTACTAAAATCATCATAACCCTAAAGTATTTACCTCGTTTCTGTAAGTGGTCCCTTCAACAGAACCAACCTTTATATTTTCAATTTTATTATAACCTGTTAATGTTAACTAAAACAGAATTATTTGATACAGATTTTTATTTTTTTTATTCCTTCACGTTCCCAGTGGAGCATAGGGCTTCAAGCCAGAGGCTTGAAGTTTCTCTAACAGATTTTATTTTTACAGGATGGGGTTGTTAGCTTCATGCTCAACCTTTCCTCTTCACCAGCTTTTAGTTCTGGTTTAGCGAGGTAAAGGAGTGCACCGGCCAGGGATCGAACCCCGGACCATGTGCATAGTTGGCGAGCGTCCTAACCGCTGTGCCACCGACGCACATTTGATACTCATTTGATACAGATACTTCACTGCTATAAATATCTTGCATTTAAAGAACTTTTCTCATTAATTCCAGCATATTTCTTGGTATATCACCAATCTCCCGCATGAATTTTCGTAAACAAAAAAAAGGTAAAAGTGAGATAATTACCTTTTCATACTGATGGATACCATTAAAAAACCATTACGATGAGTGTCATTAATTTCAGACTAGCGAGGATATAGAATTATTTTATTCAATGGAAGCTTCTAAAGTTAAAAAATGTTAATAATAGTATCAATAAAGGAGTTTATGTTGAATTTACTTCCTTATACTCTGTGCATTTACAGTTTTACTCAAGATGCATAGATAGTTAAACAATCAGAAGTCAGATTCACATGAATGTCTGTAAAGATTGTAAAAGTAGATGGAAATCGATCAGTGATGATGCATTCAGGGATTGTTTCAGGATATTTCTGAGTTAAATACATATAAATATCATACACGATGGATAGAGAAAGATATTTGTTCAGAAACAACCTATGTCAGTTAAAAGACCACTGAAATCCAGGAAGCATAGCTTGAAACTTTTCAGCAGTACATACCCATGAAGTCATAAATAGTCTATTCAAGGGTTATTTAGTTATCAAATCAAAAAGTTACCTCCCTGTGTTTTATAATTTCTAACCTACCAATTTACTGTAGCCCGATTAAGGCGCTAAATGTCAGTGATAATTATCTTCGCACTGGTCATTCATTGCATTATAACTTCGAAGAATGCGTCTTGGAATTAGTCACTAATTAGTCGAGAAGGTCAGTTCACTGCTTACTGACAACTACTTCGTTTCCCTAGTACCTCAGTGGAGGGAATGAAGCCAGGAAATTACTGTTCAGTGCCATCTTGAAAAACCCTAAGTTATTTTCTGAGCACTGTTTAGTAAGTTCGGAACTTCCTGTAAACTGACATCATGTGAAATTCGCAAGTATGTTACAACTTTTCTGTACATGAAATTAATAATAATTTATCTAGGTTGTAAGCAGCTGACGAGAAGCCAACGAAATAAGTGATGATACAATATTATTCTGTAAAAACTTTTGTTCCTGCCTTGTTCAAAAACCTTAAGTAGTGGGTAATGTTGATGATTTCCGAAATAAAATCCAATAGTTTAATATAACTTCAGTAAGAAGTATCTACTTCGAATAACTTTTTAACATTTTTGTTTTCTTCATTGATTTATATATGATATCTGTTAATTCACTTGATCAAGGGTCGGTAATCCTTGACATTCTACACGAAGTCTACTCCATATTTCACAAAATGCCTTCGTTAATATCGAACCAACGAATAAGAAATCAAAGATGGTATGTATCCCTTTGAGATCATTTGAAACTATGCTATCAATTATAGCTTCATTTCAGTAATTCTAAAAACATTTCTACTGTATAACTCCAATGATAATAATTTCACATGCAAAACTACCCTCCTGGTGTACACCTTCATCTCTCAGTATAATGAAATGAATTATCACACAAAAACTACTTGTATTTACACTTGGTGGGCAGTGATTCACACCAGAATGTGTGATAACTAATTACATCACCCGTTTATGTGAAACGCTGTAGGTGGAGTGGGGTTCGAACTCATCAACCATCATTGTTTAACATCTGAACATGTAAACCAGTATGCCAATGTTCCAGTAGTTAATTATTTGAGAAATTGAAGAAGTGTTAGTTTACTTTATTCAGCTTTTCTTTGTATACTCAGGAGGAACACCTTCTACACTCTCATTACTATCTTTGTTACAACAACTACTAATGTATCAGCAAAGTATAATGGTATTTGGTAGCAGAATTGTTTATTTGGCAAAAGGATGTACAGTTGCAGTAAAATATATAATCTTACATTGCGAAATCAATTTGTAAAAGTTACCCGTATTCTGCTTCTTTGGTCTTCGTTTCATGCTTTCTCTATTGTTTCACAGTGGTCTTCATTTCTCCTCTTTGCAATTTAATCCGTCGCTCCGTTACTTAAGCCTCTTGTAGAATACGTTACTATTATACTAATTACGAGATCCTGTCAGTAGAACACGCTACACTACTACAATTGTCTCCTGCAGAACACTGTAAAGAACGTTATTCACTGAGACTTATTGTATATTCATTCTCACTAAGATAAAGTGAAGAGTGAAATAGTTGCAATACAACTGTCTCTCAATAAGGAAAGCTTTTCATCTCTGCAGGGATTAGGAATTCCCAATAAAGTATACAGTGAGTATTCGATCCAAACATATGGTTACATATAGATATGATCAAGTTTTTCAAATTTTAGTTTTTACAAATCAGATGAACCAATAATTGATAACCGAAAAATTTTCAGAATGATATGAAATTGTGGCATGAAAGTTTGAATGGCGATTTGCTTTCTGCGTTGCTTAACAAAATGGACCATATTAGTTTATGAGTTTTCTTTTCCTTAAGTTTCACTACAGATTCATTATGCATCAAAATCATAACGCGGATTAATGCTTTGTGAACTTATATGACTAATATTATTTTGTTTTTAATACACATTTACTATTTTCAAGTGTTATTTTGCAGAGATCTGACTGATGCGAAGAATAATCACTGATTGACTTCAGTTAGAGAACCATTGAAAACAACGGACTACTGCACAGTTATTTTATTCTAGTCTGAGACTGTTCATCAGTACGGACCTATAATCCTTCCAGGGATTAAACCTACGATCTTCACGTTACGAGGCGAGCTCACATACCATTTAGCTACTAGGACAGAATCCAATGTCCAGCAATTTCTAACTACGGCCAATTCGCGATAAAATGTGCGACCACCGGCGACGACTCCCCACTAGTCACGACTTTCTCCTAGAACTTCACTCAGCTTCATCCTGTAGTCAGTTATCATTCACAAAAGTAATTAATCTCTAATACAAGTTTTATTTTATCTATGGATTATATACAATGTGAATTATGTATAGTGGAAAATATTGCAGATGAGTCATTTAAATATGTAGGTATGAAGGTTCTTTTGGTGACGATCAATAACTGTGTCCATCTTCTATTTTCACCCATATTAAATTTTTCCACAGGGGAATATCTTCATTATCATCTGTAACTTCTTGGTAGACAGCTTTGGAATCAAATTCATCTGATTCAGTTTTGAAATAAAATCTTAAATAAAGAACAAAAAATAAACAGTAAGTGAATACAGATCACTGTAGTTTTCTTATTTAAAAGAAAAATACCCAAGTAATCTGTGATTTATTTTATTTTAATGCTTGGGCCGAAAATTTCACTTATACCTCATTTCGTTTTTTTCAATGTCATTTTGGGAAGATTATAAAAACTGAAAAGAAATTGCGTTCTGATTGAATCGATGTCAAGCAAACTCATGTAGAATAATAAGACCGCTAACATTTTCTTCGATTCCAGTCTGCATTTCTTCACGATCCAACAGCAGTTAGAGATCACTGAAGCAATGGATACCTGTTTCATCTCAGTTTATGACTCAAACAGAATACGCCCATGACTCCACCAGAAGTTGAACCTGGAACCTTCAGGTTATGAAGCTAAACTCACTGGCCATTTGGCTATATGGACAGAGGTTAGATGACCCTTTGAATTATAGCTTCTATCAATTCGTCATATAGCACGATGCACGACCAATGCCACTTCTGCTTAATATAATGGCCGCCACTGGCCATAACTTTTCAGTACAGCTTCAGGACATCCATACAGTAGCAATTAATCAACCGGAGATTGATACTTAGATTATGAGTTTTTTAGGGATTTGGATGAAACAGGTGTCAAGTGATTCCTGCTTTTCAATGATGTCTAACTCCTGTTGGCAGGTGACAAAACCTGCATTGCAATTAATCCAAATCCCTTCTTAAACTAACAGTCTACATTTTCTTTTATTAATATACTTCGACCTAAGTTTCGTGCTACTTGGCACTTGTCAGCAAGGCATATCTACAATCTTGAAGGAACTCATGCCCCTTCTGAGATTTAAACCTGCGTCACCCAATGCTGCAGACAGAGACGTTATCGAATGATCAAATCAGTGTGCACCGTGATGGCGAGCTATCTGGAATGGTAGCCACATTGCAAACCTGACTGATAGAATTCAGTCTGCACCAAAGACAGGTTTAGACACATCATACTAGTCACTAGTGTCCAATCGAAATATTCAGGGTTTTTCAGTTTTGCTTCTTAAATTATTTAAAATGACATTATCGACTGCTACGGCTTCTTACTTGAATTCCTCGGTTGCTTACATTTCCATTGGACATAATGCATCAGGTTTTACCCATTTCTTTTAATTTTCCAAAAATATCCTTTGATTGCAACAGTTTTTTTCCTTCACGTTCCCCAGTGGAACATAGGGCTTCAAACTAGTGGCTTGAAGTTTCTTTAGCAAGGTTTATTTTACAGGATTGGGTTGCTAGTCTCATGCCCAACCTTTACTCTTTACCAGCATTATTTCTGGCTTAGCGATGTAAAGGAGTGCGTCGGCCGGGGATCGAACCCCGTACCATGTGCATGGTCGGCGAGCGTCCTAACCGCTATGCCACCGACACACCTGCACATTTCATGCACATTTCAGTTAGCTTTCAATCTCTTGCTGTGAACTTCTTGAAAGAAATAAAGAAATAATGTCGTGAGCGATTGAATCTTGCTTCAGATTGGATAGAACTGCGTTATATGATATACCATCGATTATTATTTCGTGCATCAATAATGACACCTTTATTTACAGAGTATACATAATTTTGAGTTTTGTATAATATTCACTCTTCGTTCATGATCCTCAAGTGAAATAGTAACTGGCAGAATATCACATGATGTAATGGTGCTCGATTTGAAGCTGAAACCAATCCCTTATGAAATTTTCCCTTTGTCTTCTTCAAGAAATACACAGTAAATGGGTTGAAAATTAATTAGAAATACGCTTGAGTATATTTTGCTATCCAAGGACATTTTTGAATGATTAAAACAATTAGAAATGGAGAAAAGTTTTCCCACTCTGTCTGACGGAAATTCAGAAGTCCCAATGATTTAGTCAAACCACAATTACTTTTACTTTTCTTGAGGATCCTATGCGTAGAGTAAACATTATGCAAGTAAAATGTGTTGAGAATTCTGTATTGTATGTAAACATTTTACAAAACTAATCTATTATTATCCTCAATGAATTTGCATATAAAGCAGATAGTTTCAGTGAGAGGAACGTTGGTGAAAAGGAACGTGACATCCATGGATATCATTTTCTCCCCGGATACATTAGCATCACTTATTGAATCGACAAATTCAAATGAATCTGAAACATTATGCTTGCAGAGATTGTTTCTGATAGGTAGGAGGATGTCTGAGAGCCATTTGGCAGTAGCATGATACGGGGGAATTTGTCATATCCAAGATTGGATGTAGTGGTACGTTCTCTTTGTGCACTTTCGACAGACCATATAAACGGGAAATCATGGAACCTGAGGGTCGTATTCGCTCTGAATTATTTGTGTAAATACGACCCTCAGGTTCCGTGATTCCACGTTTATATGGTCTGTCGAAAGTGCACAAAGACAACGTACCACTACATCCAATCTTGGATATGACAAATTCCCCCGTATCATGCTACTGCCAAATGGCTCTCAGACATCCTCCTACCTATCAGAAATAATCTATTATTAATATTAAAATTTACAGAGAGAATTCTTCAGCAATGAACTGAAAACTGTCATTTGTGTAAGGTTGTGTTAGCTTAAATAATAATTTTACTCTGTCAGTTAATTTAGGCGGAAAGTCTTCTGCGGATGTATGCAGCAAATGTCCCACTTATACCTTAGCCAAAACTGTCAATGCCATCCAGAGCCAAATTGAAATCTCTGCCATCACTAATGTTACTTTGAAAAACATTTGAAATTCAACAATGACATTTTTAATTGAGAATATTTTCCACTATTTCGGAAATATTTATGACTTCAACGGGTATGTAAATATGGATCTGAAGGTTGCGAAAACATTTGGCTGACACATGAGGTCAAGTGCAAAACTTTGATCTATGATTTACCGTCAAATGGTGTCCACCACTGGTTGTCAAGAAGTGGTGCGACCCTTAACATGCTTGAAGAATATTAGGTGCTCTGAAATGATCACTATTGAAGAAACAGGTCCACCCACTATCGTTCCTGTGGTTTGCTGTGTAATCTATTAACTCATAAATTTATAAATACGGCATTATTTTTCTTATTTTGTCTTATATTCATTTTAGTGTTACATTGATGCACACTATCATAAACAAATAATTTTGAACCGTGCCTTATTGATATTGTTGATTCAAAGTTATTTAAAAGAGTATTTTTACTAATAGCAATAATTCAGTTAATTAGTATGGACTTGATGAAGAAGTTATCGAGAAAAAGAATCTTTGTTCATTGTGAGCCTTTTAAAATTTTTAATGAGCATCTTTAATAGATTTTAAAAAAAGTAATTCCTTTACTATTTAAAGCCATACAGTTAAACATACCGTTGATTAAACACTTGAAGTTCATCGTTTACTTTATTTCTGAGTTTTTGTTTATTTGAATACAATTCATGTATAATTATCTGCTTAAGTGCTTTTAATCTCCATTGTTCATCTTTACAAAGAATAATATATGGTAGTGTATCTTCTAATATATAGACGACGATAATTACGGAATTTTTCTGTAGACAATTTACTGTGTTGTCAGTCATATTAAATAATGAGATCGATAATGATTGAGTTGAATCACAGCGTTGCCGAATTGTATTATCATTATCATCATCATCATCATCACTGCTTTTTGTACCAGCTGAATATTCGAAATATGAGTGACGCCTAAGGAAATAATGAAAATGAAAACTCAGAATTTAATTTAAATGAGTAGAATTTTTTTTAGCGAAATTGTTTTTAATGAACAGATACTCCCTTTTGAATTAGTCATTGATATAATAGAGAAGATTTGTAGCTCAGGTGGATGATTTTGGTGTGGTTGTGTTCTCTGAGCTGGATGGTTTGGTTGCGAAGCTTTCATTGCTCTACTGAGCAACATCTTCAGCGCATACTTCACATCGAAGTATGCGCTGAAGATGTTGCTCAGTAGAGCAATGAAAGCTTCGCAACCAAACCATCCAGCTCAGAGAACACAACCACACCAGAATTAGTCATTGTTTTGCATAAAATGCAAAGTAATCTGTGACTGAAGGGTAATGTATTCAGTTATGAAAATATATTCAATTTTATACTGATACCAATGAAGATGAGATGAATGAGCACAATAATACTTGAACTCATCTTCACATGTAAGTGAAGCATACTTCCGCGTTATCTAATACTTCAATATATTTTTGGTATTTGAAGACTATAAGGAATCCTCTGAGGTAAAAGATAGATTTCTCTTGCATCACAATAAATGATACAGTATGTCCTAATTGAAGCCTGTTAAGAAATATTTATAAGGTACGGGGATACTTTATAAAAAATGTACATTGCTACTCATATTGTAAGGGAACCCACATCGAGGAGTGATACAATTTTTTAAAAAGTTTCTCGTTCTCACTATTTACCATAAAGAAAATATATATTTTTTATCTTTTTAAAATTCAATATTGATTTTCCTGTTGATTGATTGGACCGCAGTGTTTAGCTTCTGTTCGCGTATCGGCTCCTAGTGTGGACGCTTCGACGATGTCTGAAGATTAACTTGAAGTGATTTGGTGGATCGTGACTGGCAGTGGAATCTATGACGCTCATTCTGTTTCATTTAGGAACCGTCAGGAGGATGTGCCTGTATTCTTCAGTGAGTGATGTTCTCCCCACAGAGGCTGGAACCCAGTACCTATTGTTCCAAAGGCCAAAGCGTTATCCACTAAACCAGTTGAGCAGCGAGAGCCACTTCTTGTGCAATGGGTGCCAGTTATTATTTGTTTTTAACTCAATTTTTGATTTTCCCGTCTATTGATTGGACCGAAATGTTCTGACTGACATGTCAACTCCTGGTTTGGTCGCTTCGCTTTTGTCTGAGAACTAACTTGATGTAATTCGGTGGTTGGTGACTTGCAGAATAAGTTAAAAATTTGTTAAAATTGATATGCCTAATGGTTTTTTTATTCTTTTACGTTCCCAGTGGAACATAGGGCTTCAAGGTAGAGGCTTGAAGTTTCTATAGCAGTGGTGATTGTTTTAACAGGATGGGGTTGCTAGCCTCATGCCCAACCTTCCCTCTTTACCAGTCTTACTACTAGCTTAGCGAGGTTAGGCAGTGAGTCGGCCGGGGTTCGAACCCCGGACCATCTGTGTGGGCGTCGAGCACTCTACCGCGGTGCCACCAACGCACTGCCTAATTGGCATTTGGAGATTAATAGAATGTACATTTCTATCTAAGATCCAGTACAGTGTTCAAACACATAAGTATTCAGATTGAATAACTGAATCTGTTTTTCTTCACAAGATAACTAATTGGCACTTACAAGTTTTCAGTAGATATATTCCGTAACTGTCATCACTGACACAAGTTAAAACAATCCTCCTATCCTAACTAATCATATCGCTTTAAAAGTTGTCGACAGAAGGTACATGTCAATTATCTTCAGTTAACAGGAAATCCAGATTAGTTACTTTACTGCGTGTCATTATTTTATCTCAGCTTTTTTCAAAAAATAAAAAAAAACTTAATTAAATGAAGCCAGTAGGGTATAGTGTATACGTCTCAGTTATAGACTATTTGTATGCATATTAAATGGCTTCAGGTTATCCAGTCTATGAATGCCAGTTTATTTATTAATTGCCAACCGGATTTTTAATAGCCATTTTCAATTTATTTTAGAGAGAAAAAAAACAAAACAAAAATAAAATAATATCTACCCTGGCGTCTATAAAATACCAAATAAAAAGGTGGAGGGAAGGGTAGAGAGAAAGTGAGAGGTTGGAACAACAAAGTTTTCATTCCTGTTTAACCTTGTTTATTCCTCCAACTTGAGAATGACACTATGATTTAATCTGTAGGTGTGTGGGGGGGGGTATTGTATTCAATAATAGAAATAACCGTGTACATAAATTCTATAGAAGTGAATAACTGTCTTCGTTTGTTTGTTTGTTTTTAAACCAAACTATCTGTCAAGATGACACAAGGTTCAGTCAATCAGATATATTTTTCTTGTTTAAGTGTTCAATTGTGTTACCACTAGTGTAAAGAGATATGCACTTGGATTTAAATAAGACACTATAAAAAAGAAAATAACTGGAATAAAATGATTTATGGGTTCATTGGACCTGTCAAAATTAAATGGTGTCCAGTGCTACTGAGACTACAACAACAATAACCACTACTACTACTACTACTGGTCAACAATTTATTACAATTCCTTACTTAGAAATTTCACACCCTAATGAAAAACAAAAATTGAAACTAGATTATACTTTCCATCTGGCCTTTGCTGTCTGTGTTCATGTGTATATTTGAAAAAAATGTTTTCAAATATTGGTCTACAAAGATTTGATTGATTTCATGATTGGTCAAGAATTGACTTCAGTTAGAGAACCATTTGAAAATCAGACGTTTCGTCCTTGTTTGGGACTCTTGAGCAGTACACATCATCCGTCATCCGACCAGAGATTGATCCCACGAAGTAGCGGTTACAAGGTGAGCTCGTAGACCATTCAGCAAACAGTATGACATTTAAGAGCCAATAAATTCTAGCTTCCACTGATTTGCAACATATCGCGCATCCTCTAGCCAGTGTTATTGGTGAGCACTTGTCCTCATATCCATCTTAGTGGATCCCATCGGTTATAACTTCCTGCTAAGACTTCAGTCAACTTCATCTTATAGTCAGTCAGTAGTGAGCAATAGAGATTAATTTTCAAGGATTTGTCAATAAATGTTTTAAATTTCAAGACAATTTCAGCGACCGAATCCAAGCTAATTCTAGAACCACTTGAAAGTTGTTTTGTGCCTTAAACATGTTAGCAACATTCCTTTTCCATTTTTTGTGTGAAATCTCTTTGATGTTTATATTGATTTTAATGTAGGGAGTCAAGTTTAAATACCATCAGAAGTCTTCGATCAATGTTTGTCTAATAGTATCAGTCAGGTTAATCTCCTTAAATACTATTCAATGAAAAAAGAAGTCAGTACCCTATTCAATGGGAATTAATCAGAGTGAAGTGGAAAAATTCTTCATGTTTCGGTGGTTCCATAGTGGAATGCTTGTTAACCACGCACATGGTCTAGTTTTGATTCCCAGTAGACGCACTTTTAAACCTCACTTAGCCGGTAGCAAGAAAAAAAATCCTGTGAAGGTTGTATTATCTACAGGATAGTTGAAGTTCCTGTAAATAAACTAGATAACAGGAAAGTTGGCATTCAATTATACCACCAAGATAAGGAACAGGAACTGCATTGATGAAGATTTAGTTCTTCACATATATAAAGTTGGTTATTAAATAGAACATGAGGCAATATTTACATATATATATATATATATAATTTAGTTTACTCTACATATACCCAATATATTGAGGTATTCTTTTCATAAAAGTCCGACCATCAAGTAAACTGATATTTGGAAGTTAAATGGTGACTATGAGTGGAATCCAGGATGCGCATTTCGTTCTATTTGGGACTCGTCAACCGGATATACCTGCATTCCTCAGTGAGTGATAATGTTCCCACCTAGGCTCGAACCCAGTGCCCTTAGTTTCAAACACCAATGCGTCACCCACATGCACAGACATCGTCGAAGCATCTGCACAAGAAGCCAACATGTCAACCTGAGACTGAGCACTTCGGTCCAATCAATCGACGGGAAAATCTTAAATTGAATTAAATAAATTGGTATTTCCTCATAACTGTTTCAAAATCAATTGTATGACGTACAGTTTCCCCCTTTGTCTCGCAAATGTAAGGAGACTAAATACTCAGTCAGTACTCAAGTCATTACCATATTATCTAATAATAAGATTCGTATGAACAATGTTATGATAAATAAGCAGTTATTAGCTGGATAACCATCCAATCGATTTCACTGTAGCTGACACCAGGTCAAAAGCCAAGTTTCACAGTTCAGTCAATAGATCACATTGTCGTCTATCAAGAGGTCAATAAATTCGGTTCCTACCGCAATTCAGCGTTTAAATAAAGTTTTACAGTCACAAAAGCTGGTGAGATTTGGATCAAATTAACATACATTGAACTGCTAACTTGAATAACACTAAGAATTCTACTTATGACAACAAGAAAAAACATTATTCTATAGCTATTATCCTCTCATAAAGTTAACACAAGTCATCAGTTACAGAACCATTGGAAAACCATTCGTCAACCCTGTTTTGTACTCTTCATCGGTACACACCCACCGCCAGGGTTCGAACCCAGAACCTTCTGGTTACAAGGCTGGCGAGCTCGCAGAGCATTAAGCCACTGGGACCCGATCCAACGGCCAGTGCGTGAATTCTAACTTCTACCAATTTATGACATAGCGCAACCACTTTGACTTCTGCTTAATGGTCTATGAGCTCGTCAGCCTTGTGACTAGAAGGTTGTGGGTTCGAACCCTAGCGGTGGGTGCGTAGTGATGAAGAATCCCAAACAAAGTTGACGAATCAACTGTGCAGTACTCATTCCCAGGTTTTCCAATGGTTCTCTAACTGATGTCAGCTCATGATGAAATCCTCCAACCAATCAAACAAAACCAATACTTAAAAATTAACACAAGTCAATCAAATGATGGAAATGACCACAGATAATCAAGTCATAGATGAAGAAAGGTAATCCTCACTCCCCCCCACCCCTTTAAAAGGTCTAAAACTACATAAAAATTAATTTCTTCCTTTCACTGTCCACTTTTAAATATTTAATTAGTTTATTCTAGTAAAAGAGATAATAACGAAACACAAGTTAATTCTCAAAGGAATAAAAAGCAAATCATGTGGATATAGATAAGAAGGAGAAGAACACAATGAAAACTCTAAGAAAAAACAAGGGAAAACGGAAGAAAAAAAACTTCTGTTGGTATTCTTTTTTCTCTCTAAAAGTAAAGATAAAACACACAAAAAAGGAACAAAGTGGACAGTTTGTGTAGATAAACAATACTACACTATGTCAACAATGTACTATATGCGTGGACAGTTAGTTCCCAAAGTTTCCTCTTTACTTTTTCTACTTTCGTTTCTTTGTCTTTACATATTTTTTTTAAACCTAGAAATTATTTAATTATGAATTATTCTGTTCTTGGTTGTAATTGTTCTTAACCCGCGTTAATTGAATTTAAAAGTATGAATACAAATTGTAGTGTTAAACAGAGATTTAACTGTTTTATTTGCCATTTTATTTTGCTTCTTTGTGTTAATTACTAAACTGTATTAAGCAAAACGAAGTAATCCGTTGAAGCATATCCGTATGGAAGCAGGTAATTTGAATCACTACAAACTAATACTTCATTGGTATATATATATGCTTGCTTGGAATCATCTCATCATTATAGAATATTCCAGTGAATAAATTTTTAATGATATGTAAATAAGCGATACAAATAACAATCATATAATACAACAGTGGTTCAGAGAGAAAATGTTCATTAATCAGATGTACGTGGCGCTGGTTTGACTCCCGATCTGTACAGTCCCAGACGTCACGTAACCGATAACAAGCAGGTGAAAGAGGGTAGTCTATGTATTCGGTTAGTAACCCCATTCCGTGCAAAAACAACATCACAGACACTGAAATTTAAAAGCGCAATCTTGTATCCCTATATTCAACTCAGAACGCAAAGGAATGGAAACAGAAAGTAATAATTTTAATATTATTACTGGAACTATTATATACACAGCAATAAGAAGACGTAATTTGTCTGAATGGCTCCAGAAACAAATGGAATCTTCAGAACCTATTAACGGTGAGAACAGGAGACTTAGCTCTTCTATTGCGAAACATATTATAGAGACAGGACATAAAATTGACGTTAACACATCTTTTAAACCTATCCATAAAACACGTTTGGGGCGTATCCTAAAGTTTGTGGAAGCCCTAGCAATTAGAAAGTTTAAGCCACCTTTATGCGTTCGAAAACAATTCGTCATCACATTAAACCTTTCTTGGTAGGCTTTGTTTTGATAGCATAGCAGATGTACTATTACCTCTGCTATTCTGTTTAGTGGTCTTCATTGTTATTTTGACCTTGAATATGTCCTTTTATCTTGATCTAAGTCTATCTTCTCACCTCTTACCTCTTTATTAATTTCATATATATTCCTATGACAAGTCCGTGTGTGATCAGATTGTTCAAAATGTGTTGCGCAAATACATTACACGATTCAGACAAATTACGTCTTCTTATTGCTTTATCTAAATTCATAAAGGGAACTAATTGTTTTAAATATTATATATGCTTTATATCAAATTAATGGACCCCAAAACCTCAATCGCACATATAGTTGTTGTTTTTCGTAATATCTGATTACAATCCATATGTGGTAATTTCATTATATTTTTTAAAAAGAAATCACAGTACATCTGGCAGCTATATACTACTGACTAACTCAGATGAGTAGTTGTATATTACTCAAATCAACCTGTACTGCTTGATATCCAAATTGAAATAATTTAAACACTAGATGGTTGTTTCGCTGGTTTGGGACAGAGATCATCAGTGGTGTGCCTGGTCTAACTCATCTCAGAGAACTGAGTCAGTTCAAATCACCCGACTTGAGGATGGCTACTTGGGCGAGATGGTAATTAAAAAATGATCTGGAAACTGCGAATATGATGTATGTATCTGACAATCTTTGAAATGTCATCCACTCTGAAAGCCATCAACTTTCAATCATTACCCTACTGACACTGATAAAATGAATCATGTTGATGTAGCTGTGCTCTCTGAGTTGGATGATTCAACGCCATACGTCAAAATGAAATATGCACTGAAGATGTTGTCTAGGAAGACAATGTGAAGGCTTTGCAAGTAAACCATACAGCTAAAAGAACATAATTAATGTCATCCACTTTAGCTACTACTCCTCTCCATCATATCCAAAATGAATCGCACTGTAGTTGGAATTACATAATAGAATTTAGGAAAAAGGAGCACAAACTGATTCACATTGAAATAGCCTTATATACATTTCATACTTTTCTGTCTAATGTCACTGTTCGAAATTTAACATTTCAACTGGCCTGAAAATGACTCAAGTTATGGCAAAACAATGGGAAAACGTAATTTATCTGAATCATGGGATGTATTTGCGCAAGCATTTCGTATAATCTGATCATACACTTATTTGTCATAGTAATTTATCTGCCAATAATAAAGCCTGAAGGAGTGATCATCTATGTAGAGTGATTGCAGCTTGATACTTAGACAAACAGTGAACGCTGTGTTTAAAAAGACTTTCTATGCAGCTAAGATTCGGATAATTGAAGAAAGCGCCTTCTTCGAACCTATTAATGGTGACAAAAGACGACATAGTTCTTCCGTCGTGAAACACGGCAAAGTTAAACTTTAAGCAACACCAACTACCAATCAGTGAATGACCTAGAACGCACCATTGTATATGGAATACAAATATTTATGAAAAAAAAATGCATAAAAGCTTTATAAAAGTGTTATGGAGGATACCTTCCTCTCACACGTGATAAAAATAGCTCACAGTTTTAGGGTGGAGTATCAACAGAGTGTAATTCCATCGTGGGTAATATTTGCTCTGATAAAGTCTCATGGTGTTATACAGTAATATATACTGAGCAAATATTGTGCTCGAAACGTTGTCATCAGTAAATATTACTGTATAACACTGCGAGATTTTTCAAAATAAATTTCACCCACGATGGAATTATACTCTACCACAGTGCACAAGTTCTATTCTTATATCAACAGAGTAATTTAACCACATTCCATACATATAATCATTTTGGTCTTCTAATCCTAATAGTAACCCTAATCTTTCCTGAACCTAACTGTAGCGTGAAAATATCCCTAAACTAACGCTAATCTAACTCGAACCAAACCTACTGTCGTCTTTATTAGGTTCACCTAAACATAACTTGTCCTTTGCTTAAAGAGTGACTTAATCTTTCCCAAACCTAAGCTGTAACTTGCCTGATACCCCATTTAATAGAGTAACACTTCAATAAGCATATTTTATCGATGATGACAACATAATTTGCCAGTTTTCAATAACTTGCTCAGTAAGTGTTTCAAGGTCATTGGTGCGGTCGCACTCCATTGGCAGTCAGTGGTGCTTAAAGTCTAACTTGGCCCGAAACACTATACATACGTCTTTTAAACCTACCTGTTAGACGCGTTGGAGTTCATTCTAAAGGTTGTGGAAGTCCTCACAGTTAGGAAGTTTAAACCACCGTAATGTGCCCGTAAGCACTTCGTCATTACATTAAACCTTCCTTGGTAAATTTTGTTTCAACAGCGAAATAAATGAACTCTGTCATCTCCTTTTATTGGTTTATTAATCTCAGTTGTTACTTTGACCTTCACTCTATCCTTTTAACTTGACCAATGTCTATTGCTTCACCCATTGAAACAGTATTATTCCCATTTAAATTTCTATGACAAATATGTGTATGATCAGATTGTATGTGATGTGTTACGCAGATACCTTACGCGATTCAGATAGATTACACCTTCGTGTTCCTTTGCGAAAATTCATAGAGGTAACTGACTGTTGCAAATTTTAAAAGAGATGACTAAAGTTAAAATAACAGTAGCTATTAGATTTCGACCAGATGCTTGAGTGCTTATGTTGTCACCTCGCGATCTGAAGCAACTGGATTCTATCCTTCTTACACCTTTAGTGCGCCCCATTGAAGAATCCCCTAGTAGAACCAAACAACTGCCAAAAAGCTTTTAATTTCCAGTAATTCTCTAACTAGTATCAATTCGCAACAAAATCTACTTTGAAAGCTTATTCACTATAGCTCAGTTTAAGAGTGTAAGTGCTTCAAGATCAATTAAAAAGATAATTAATTAATTTTACCTTTTTAGATGACTTCTTTGAGCCTTTTTTTCATAACTTTCTGTCTTCACGTACGTTGTCAAAGCAGATCCATCAACACCGTGAATAGTCTCATGAATGATTTCATTTGGCTTTGTTAAGTTATGTTCACCAATATTTCTCATAGATTCTATGTCGTTATTAGTATTATTATCATTATTGTAATTATCACAGATATCATAGTGTTGATAATTTAATTTATTAAGATTATCATCAGTGTTATTGCGATTATTATTATTATTATTATTAATAAAAGAAAGAAGATGTTGGCTTGAGCGAACAAGATATTCACTGAACAATTCTCGACTATGATTTACTGCACCGTATTCTTCTGTACTGTTACCATTAAAACGATGATTTTGACGATTGCAGTTAATTTGATGCTTTAACAAAGAGTGTCTTGACCCTTAAAGAATAAATAAGGAAAGGAAATAACACAGCCTAAGGGAAAATATACTTAAACAACTGAAATCATCACAAAGGAAAGTGGAGAATTACATAAAAAGTAAGTTTCAATAAAAAGAAATATCCAAATTGTTTCATTCGTGATCTGAACTCTTTGGTTCATTTATATTTGACTATGCATAAATGCAGAAAACGTAAGCTTTTAAAGGGATTGAATTTGGTCCCGTAGATAACTTTAAAGGATGAATCACGTGGGGCTGTATGACCCGACTCCAGATGTTCACAGGCTGAAGACTTTTTCGTCCTTTGCTCACCTTTCATTAACCAAACCGAGTATTGTTTGCGGAAAACACGCTTACAACGTCCAATGTAATCAGCTCTACAGAAGCATGTGAATTAGTAAATGCACATAGAGGTGGACATAAGCGGTAGTTTACCCTCGGGGCAGTGTCGAATTATACTTCAGCTGGTAAATACTACATGTAAGTCAGCTGCATAAAAAGAGTGTTTAATACATTTAGGTAAACGACTTTTAATTACTTCTGAAATACTGTCATCTTTGGTAGCCAAACTCATAAACACTGTCTTCTCTGGCACTGTGATTTGGCTGGGAATAGTTTCTTTCTTGATGTTTCTGTCAATAAACCTTCTAGGATATCCATTATTTAAGAGAGTTGTGCAAAGGCTTCCTAATTCTATGTCGACCATATCTAGAGAGCAAATTTTCCGAATTCTGGAGCAAAGAAAACTGATAAGATCTCTCTTCCTACCTAGATATACTCAACTGTTGAAGTTAGTGTACTGACCTGTAGATATTAGCTTTCGGTAGATCGACCTTCTCAACATGACATACTCTCTGCTATCTAGCATCACATCTACAGGACCGAATCCAGTCACTCCAAAAGCTTACGTTTTCTTCACTTATGCCTAGCTGAAGCTCTAACTATACACGGACAAAGACCTAAATCATTTATATTTTCCAGTTATCAAAATGGATTACTCATTTTACAAGTGAATACGCTTAAGAATATTCCTACTCATATTACACAGGACTTAGCTTAGGTGGAGCTAAACTAAATGCTTACTGTTTAACAAATGTTCATCAAAACATTTATGCACACTTCCTCATGAAGCAGTATTAGCTAAACAACTGTGAAAAACAGTGAAGTACTTAGCAGTTGTTTTTTTCCTCCAATTTTTAATCTCTCATCAGTACGCCCACAACATCATTTGTGATTAAACACAGGACTCTCAGACCACCAGACAATCACAATCGATTGAAGTTAACTCAAACCCTTTAGCTTGGATTCTTGGAAAAATTGATGGTATACGACGCTGGAGATCACGGAGGAACACACATACACATACTAGGACATAAACGTTATCCAACGCTGTATGATTCTGATTAGTTTTTCTGGTGACATCTTCTGCTTAATATAAATACCCTCAAGCTTGACTAATGAGGCTGGACTAGAGGACTGATGAATGACAATTTATTGAACTTAAACTAATTTTTAGGATTGATAAAATAGAAGCCAAAGAAATAAATGATGAAACTACAACAAATTGAATAAAAATCTGCAATTTCCTGATACTTTCTTTATCCATCAAGTTTCAGTTTAACTTGGGATAGGTTTTGCAGTTAGTTCCTTATGAAGTATCAGAAGGTCTTCTGTTTATTAAACAAATACTTCGAAAGTAATATACTCAGCTTAATATCCCCATTCCTATCTGTAGATATCTACTAACATATCGAAAGTTAATCAAAGAAAAGCTGGGGAGTTTTTCAATTTAAAATTACCATAAGCCAAATTTAGGCAAAATAAAACATTTTTACCTTTAAAATTTCTTTCTTTTTCTTCGTCAGTTATATTTCTTTGATGAATATTTACTCTTTTACAGCCTTTATTATTTCTTCTTCTTGAATATTTCTTGTCGTCAGTTAACTGACTAATCCGATCTTCAAGTAACATTTGAGCTTCACGTTTTTTCCAAATACGATTAAAGTGATCATCAAGTATTTTCTCTGGATTCTCTTTAAATTCATCAGAAAATATTTTACTCTCATTGAATAATGACTGAGCCCATGATTTATCCATAAATATGGGATGAAGCTGTCGAATGAGAAATAAAAAAAAGATAATCTTATTGAAGAAAACTCAGATAGCGAAGAATACAATATGCTCAACTGATCCATATGAATGGTTAGAAACGACTTTCGTCAACTAGTACAGGTAACTAGTCACAAATTTAAGGGATTTAAAGATCAGTCGGTTGTTTGTCTTGTCTGGTGCCCAGCCTATTGATAATACACTCCAATCGACTCAGCTTGGTAGGATGAGTCAGTCCAAGCTACTCAATGCCTTATCAACTAATTGAGTGCATTTGTGATGCATGGAGTATAATTAGTTATGTGGAAACTATACAACTTGTGGTCTGAATAACTTCGGTTTCTTATGAAAACCTTAGTGACTGACATTTCACCTCAGATTTCTTAATTTGTAAATAATTCATTCAAATCATTGGTTGTAGATTTTATATTTAGTGAAAGTCTAACCAAAATGTGACAAAAAGAAATTCAGTTGGTTTGAATGTAATCAGATTTTGTAGAGATTGCTTGTTCTTTTTATCCTCATGATTCAAAGAGAATTTAGTACAGTAACGTGCAAAATAACAACTACACTTCTATTTACTTTGGCACTTCACATTATCGTTTTCAGTGTGCTTCGTAGGTTATAAATCATGACGCAAGTAGTCATATCCTTAGTTAACACAGAATTTGAGAAAAAAAAGGATCATTTTTATCTTTATAAGAAGATTACTGATCAGTCGGGTAAACACCACAGTGTTTGCTGTAAATCGCCCATAATAACTATGTGATGAATAGAAGTGTTTTAGACTGTTGATACTCTCAAAGAAACATTCACCACTGAAAGGCAGATGCAGCCATTGTTAATTTTTCTAGAAATTATTAGATCTACTCCGGTTCCTTAATAGAACATATTTTTAAGTTTATCCCACTACGTATAATAAACCCATATGTTCGCTGTCCTTTTATACCATTTCTTTGGTGAAATAGTAATTTAAAAAATACTGAGGTTGATAATACAAAAATATACATTCATATGGCTTTATACGGTAAATAGTGGAATAATTAGAATGGAATGCATTTGAAAATGTTTGTGTAAATTCAGCATGGATTACAGTATCGTTTCTCCGTCATGAATCTTTATTTAACTTGAAACTAATCATTGTTTGGTAAAGAGAGAGAATCTTTGGCTGAGCCCCATACCCTATGCTAATTGTCCGATGCTAGTGTCCTAGTCCGCTTCATAGTTGTTTCCAAATACTTGATTGATGAATTTTCGGAAGACTTGAATGATATAATGTAATTTGCAACTGGTTACCTGAAACGATGCTTAACTGTCTAACTGTTGCTGAAGAGGATACTGTGTCCAATAATATAAGCTGACTTGCTCACCAGGAAAACTGGAAAGGCAAGAGCCTAAATTTCGCCATAGCTTGTGGTGAGACAGCTCATGGAAGTGATAACACATAAATCGTTAAAAAAACACTAGGTTTATACTAGAAATTATATGGTTTTGGTCATTTTCTAAATCAATTATTGCCGTCAAGCTACAGTCTTAAATCAAATAACCATATCTCACTGTTTTCGCTTCTTTTCGATTACAAAATTTTAGAACAAGTATAATGAAAGTGGGCAACTGTTTTCAATAACTTCTTTAGTTTCTACAGTTACAAATCTACTAATATTGACATGATTAATTTGGCGTAGTGTGCCTACAAACACAACGATAATAGTGACACGTTTAGTAACGGGAATTCCTTATACAAATCTGATGTAAATTAATAATAACATCTTTTTTATAGTGTTCACAAATACTTCACTATTGCATGTAAAGGAAGTAACAATATATTGACACTGTGCTGCTTTGAAGATTCACGTTCAGTACCACAGTATCCTATTGGACTGAATAAGAATATTATTTAAAAATAAAGGCTTGAAACGACAAATTACGTCAGTCATTATCTCATCATTTCTTATGAATTCCAAAAGAAAATATGATCGTTCCTTTAGAAGACAAATCATCAACCTATAAATTGTTAATCTGTGACTAATGATAAATACCTAGCTGACTTCAGTTTGAGGTTTTTTTATTCCAGATAAATATTTCATTAATATCAGCGTAGACTTAGTCATGAATTCATATCACTTATAGATAATCATTAAAAACTTTTCCTAGTTTGAGACTCTTCAACAAAGCATACCAACGGTATCGACAGGCATCTAGCCCAGTACCTCCATGTCATCAGGTGGGGGGTCTATTACCATTCAATCCCTGAGTTAGAATCTGACGACGTACAGATTCTGACTTCTGTTACTTAGTAGTGTAGCGCTACTTTCAACCAGTACGGGTGATATCTACACTAAAATCAATCAAAATCCCTAAAAACTCAAAACAAATCTCAATATTTAACAAGTAATTAGAATATATTGGAACACACTAAGGTAGATGGTTACAAGATGTTAGTGATTACCTGATGTGGAGAGTTCTCATCATTTTCTGGTGCCAAACTGTTTCGCTCTAGTGATCCCCCTTCTTTCACATTACTTTCATTAGATTTTATAGGTTCTACAAATGTAGAAAGTGACATCCCAGCTAAAATATCTTCCAGTTTCGATATATTCTGATGGTTTGCTGTTTCGCATAATTCTTGGCCCTCATCATAATGATTATCATTTGCTGTATGTATTTCAGAACAGTTGGTAAGTGTCCCGCTCCAACCAGATTGAGAGATAACATTTGAATGATTTGCTCCACTGTTGTTACTATTATTGTTATTACTAACAGTAGTGGCGGTGCTATCGGAAGCATTCTGAAGAGATAACTCTTGGTTTATAAGAGTCGGACAGTTCGAATTTGGCGGCAAATTGGGTAATGAATTCGATGCAAGAATGGAGGACATTGTCAAATATTGCTTTTGTTTATGATCACCAAGATATGATATGCTGCAGTTAAAATTCAAAATAAAACGTTAACTATTAGTATGGATATATTAAATATCAATACTTACACTTAATAATGTAATTAAAAGTACTTTGATCAATATTCCATAACTAAATTATATCTTTTCATTCAAAATAATTATAGTTGGTCACGATTTTAAAGAAAATAAAGATGTTAGGTGAAATAATAATAGTAATGATGATAATAACGACTACGGAGATCGACTTAGGCGTGGTCATTCCCACTGATATCTAAAAAAACTCTTCCTAGATGAACTTCATCATAAACTAATATTATTCAGATAGTCAATGAAAAATCATGCAGCACTGGACATCTATCTCCTTCTAAGTCTTTTGTTTTTACTTTTCAGCAGTGAATACCATGAATGGCTGTAGCAAGGACCTCTGTGTCACAAGAAGATTGAAATCCAATGTCCATGAGTTCTATCAATTTGTGAGATCTGGAAGCATTTCCTTCCGTATGGTAAATAGCTCAGTAGGTAGCAATAGGATTATGACTGATTAGGCAGGTGAATTTGCCTTAGCGGTTAACATTGTCCTGGTGTCTTCACTGATCAAAACGGTCAGTGGCATGACATTGTACACCATTGTATATTATGATAATCATGTTTCATATGGGTAGACGCACAGATGTCTTGTAATGATCCTTCCGCAAGTTCGTTTACGGAAACCCTGTTACTACCGTTATTTCCTTTATTAAACAGTCAAGCTAGATCGTCTTCCCTGCATCAGTCGAGCAACAAAGTCACCGTAACGACATCAGTGCAACGGCTTCGCTAAACCATTCAGTCGGTAGTAGCGACAGGTGGTATCTACCAAGGTTTGGGTAGCCAGATAGCATCACTAGTCCACACACACAATAGGTGTGACTCACTGCAGAGTGGTTTTTGAGTAACATTTTATTTTTTTAATTCAGAATAGAATATAATCTGACGGTTCTCTGCAAAGATCGATCTACACGAAACCAACATAGGACGGTCAATACATGAATTTTAATAGTTGGGTCCTTTTCAGAAGAAGGAGAAATCTAATCCATTCCTTATCCTCAAGAATAAGAAAGATATGTACCAGTGATATGATAGATGGTGGACTGGAAACACTCAGATGAGTCCTCATGGAAAATGGATATCCTTCAAGATTCATCGAGAAAATCATGAAAGTATAGTAAAAACCTGAAAGAACCCAGACGGTACCGAAGAAACTGCTATTTATGAGCGTTGAATTTAAAGGTGATATCGTAGCTGAGATCCTGGAGAATCGCTCATGCAGATCACTGAGGAAAGCCTTCTTTACGGCTGAGCTACGTATCAATTTCTACAGCCGACAAATGATCAATGGATGTGTTTAGGATAAACTGCCGCTTTGGACAGACCACTTCAATGTGTATTTATAAGTTCACCTTCTCCTGCCGAGCTAGTTATATTGGTAGCATAAAGAGCACACTTTCCTAACGCATCTCTGAACATTATCCGGCATGGTGAGCAGAATGACAATACAAGACAGTTACTAGCTCATTTCTCGATCACTTGGTGGTCTCAAGCGACTTAGCTCCACCAGAGTCATCTTGCAAGATCATCTACAGGGTGAGGCCGAATGGTACAAAGGTCGTCAGGTTTCAACATTTGTGTATGGCTGAGGCGTTGGCAATTTGTCAATACAACCCGGAACTCTGTCTACTGAAAACGTTTGTCCAGTCTCTTATTCTGCCACGGTCTTAACTTCTTCAGTAGTCGTTCCCTGTAAAATCTTTTTTTAATTTTGATTTTAATTTGCTTTCACTTTAATAATTAGTTTACTATTATCACTCTCACATGTTCCTTTTGTACATTTTCACACTCTCTTCACACTTGTTAAATTGACACTCAACTACCTTTATTCTCACTCAATGGCAGTGTTAACCTTATCAAATTTCTAATCTTTTCTTCCTTTGTGCTGTTGTGTACTACGTGATTTACAACTCAATTATGTCATCCCCCTGTTACTCAATAATAGACTACTATACATTTTAGTAAATATAAATACGACTGTACAGCCTCTGAAGATGACTTTGTTGATAAAGAAAATTTTCTTCGCTGAATTCGTCTTTTTTTAATATGAAACTCTTTAACGTTTATTTAACTAATGTCTATGAACAAATTGTTTTTTTTCATTTCTTTGTATGCTTTGTGGGACATAGTACTCCAGGCTATAAGGTTTGAAGTTCCAGTAGTGCTTGTGCTGTTTCTACATGGATGGGGTCACTAGCCTCAATTTCAAACCTCCTTGTTTTCCAGACTTAATCCCAGCAGGAAGACATTCAAGTGTGCATTGGCTGGGAATCCAAGTCGGATGACGTACGTGGCTGGCGGGCATTCTCCCTCTGAAACGCTACCACATATAAATCACACAGGCGATTTTCTATTTTATCTGATTTAAACTATTTCAGTAATGAAAATTCATAATAGTATTTTTTAAAATGTGACAGTAGACTTTCGAATACTAAAAAAGCTGTTTAGCAGTTACTCATCTATTTTCTTTAGACTGATAATAAAGCTTAACTCTATATCACTATTAAGCTTTTGATTATTTAGTGCTACTGTTGAAGAAAACTGTTACTAAATTGCCTAACCTTTTAACTAGTTGATTCCTAAACTTTTCGAAGGTTACTTAAACAATATTGCCTTTATTTCATCGCAAGTGCAGGTCAACATTTCACATGTGGTATATATGTCAGCAAAAGGAGGGTAAGAGTGACCTTCCAAAATGCAATATATCAGATATATTTCTTAGTTTTCCTGTAAGTTGCGTCGGGATGAAAAAGCTTAACAGAATAAACCAAGAGTAACATAATAAGCATCCCCATAAATGACTTCGTACAGTCGAGATTGGGTAGACTACTTTCTTGAAATAATAGAGAAGATTTGTAGCTCAGGTGGATGATTTACAATTAATAGTGTTCTCTGAGCTGGTTGGTTTAGTTGCGAAGCTTTCGTCGTCCTTCTGGACAACATCAAAGACCACAAGAAAATTCATTCTACCATACATGAGGAATATCTCTGAAATAACAGCTAGAATACTGAAACCGTTAGATGTAGATATAGCACACAAACCAGTAAAATCGCTTAATTAGATATTATGCAAACCAAAAGATCCAACAGAAAAAGGGGATAAAATTAATACCATTTACAAAATAAATTGTATGAACTGCAACAAACATTACATCGGCCAAAGTGGGCGTCCCCTTCGAATCAGAATCCAAGAACATAAATCAGCCGTGAAAAGACATGATATGCATTCTTTAGTATCAATGCATACAGACAATTATGGTCATCAATTTGACTGGGATCATGTCAAAATCTTAGACAGAGGAAACACGAAAAGTGCCAGAGAATTCCTAGAAGCCTGGTACTCAAGCGAAAATGCAATTAACAAACACGTTAATATAGATGAAATATACCAACTAATAAAAAGTAAATCAGGTGACCGAAAAGTTTAAAATCCAAGTCAATAGAAAATGGTCAATACATATGTAGAGATAGTTACCAGGAGACGCAATTATATCACTCATGAAGAAATTTAAATCATTTCACTTTGTGCTAAATATGGCGCTGAAGATGTTGTCCAGAAGGACGACGAGAGCTCCGCAACTAAACCAACCAGCTCAGAGAACACTATTAATTGCAAGACTACTTTCTTACTCACAAATTACCCTTATGTTGACACATGTTCATACTTAATAACATGTGGACCCTATTTTTTACATAGCAGAGGCTAGATTATTCTCAACAAAAAAGAAATTAAAGAGACACATTTGAATGCGAGGGGCCTGTCACTGGGTTGGTAAACACCGACAAATGAGGTTGGGAAATTATGGTTTTAACACGATGATGCACACGAATTCTGGTATCTAGGAGAAACAAATAATAATGTGAAACTTTGTCAGTTACTGGAAAGTATTGGAATGCAGCTTTTGATACTATAAAGACAACCGTTTTATTTCCGCCTAGGTTTTGAACAGTGCCTTATCCCCGACACAAAGTAAGAGACGATGATTTAATTTGAAAACGCTGGGAGAAGATGAATACTGGGTGCAGCAGAATGAATTGTAATCACAGAAATAAGAAAAATTGATACTTTAAAAAATATGTTGATCATAAGGTGGGAAGTGAGGAGTTCCACTGAACTATTAACAAGACAGATGGAGAATAACTCTCTAGGATATGTAAGATTTTCTGGAAATGGCTAGAATTTGAATAATCGATAACACTTATTCCCTAATACCTACTTTATTTCAGAGCCTTTAAGTTTGTTCGCTTTGCGTTAGTGAGCTAAATAGGTTGTACGCAGTAGACTATAATGCAGTGAAATATAATAGATTCAATATATTTCATAAGATGGTTTTATTCTAAGATGATGAGGCGAATGAAATGTGCGAAATTACACTTGAGTTCTATTTTCAAAACTATAATACTTTAAAAATTTTCATTAACATTAACACTAAGTGTTTTTTATTTCCTCACTTATAGTTGTTTGCATTCGTTTAAAATAAACTTTAACTCTTTATTTTTGACTTCTTCATTAGAATAAACTGACTATGGTAGAATGCCTACCACATCCTCTAGATTTATATATTTGTGCCTTTTTTCCTTCTCCTGGTTTTGTTGTTTTATACTCATTGTGTGCGCGTGTTTTACTTGATGTCTTTTTCTCTTTTCATTTCCTGTTAGTTCATGATTAAATTTTGCTGATTGAACAATTTCCTGTCAATTAACCCTTCATAGAATAATCATAGTTATATAGACACACTAGTATATAGACGTGAACAAACGCTTACACATATGCACATATGCAACACTTTCTGTCTATACAATTCATTTTGTATTTAAATGTAACGTCATATTTATCCCCCTTACCCTTCAGTCATATAGAATTAATTTAGTTCTTCATTATTAAACGAAAATGAGATTAAATAAAAAAAAATAAGTTTGTGGTTTTCTGAATTT